CCCCTGTCCCCACCCCTGTTCCCAGCACCTGTCCCCACCCCATGTCCCACCTCCTGTTTATCACCCCTTCTCCTTTCTCACCTCCCCATCTCCCTATGTCACCTTTTCACATTCTTATATCACCTTCCCAAATCCTCATGTCATCTTCTGACATCCTACCATCACCTCCCTACCTTCTTATGTCACCTCTCAACATCCTCATGTCACCTTCCGACAACCTCATGTCACCTTCCGACATCCTCATGTCACCTCTCAACATCCTCATGTCACCTCTCAACATCCTCATGTCACCTTCCGACATCCTCATGTCACCTCTCAACATCTTCATGTCACCTTCCGACATCCTCATGTCACCTCACAACATCCTCATGTCACCTCACAACATCCTCATGTCACCTCTCAACATCCTCATATCACCTCTTGACGTCATGTCTCTTCCCAACATCCTCATATTACCTCCAGACATCCTACCATCACCTCCCGACATCTTATCCCCATGTCACCTCCCAACATTGTCATATCACCTCCCGACATCATCACGTCACCCCCTGACATCCTAACATCACCTCCTGACATCCTCACGTCACCTCCTAACATCCTCACGTCACCTCCTGACATCCTCATATCACCACCAAACATCATCACGTCACCTCCCGACATCCTCACGTCACCTCCCGACATCCTCACGTCACCTCCTGACATACTCATATCACCTCCCAACATCCTCATATCACCTCCAGACATCATCACGTCACCTCCTGACATCATCACGTCACCTCTCGACATCCTAACATCACCTCCTGACATCATCACGTCACCTCCCGACATCCTCACGTCACCTCCTGACATACTCATATCACCTCCCAGCATCCTCATATCACCTCCAGACATCATCACGTCCCCTCCTGACATCATCACGTCACCTCTCGACATCCTAACATCTCCTCCTGACATCCTCACGTCACCTCCCGACATCCTCACGTCACCTCCCGACATCCTCATATCACCTCCCGACATCACCACGTCACCTCCTGACATCCTAACATCACCTCCAGACATCATCACGTCACCTCTCGACATCCTAACATTACCTCCTGACATCATCACGTCACCTCCCGACATCATCACGTCACCTCTCGACATCCTAACATTACCTCCTGACATCATCACGTCACCTCCCGACATCATCACGTCACCTCTCGACATCCTAACATCACCTCCTGGCATCATCACGTCACCTCCCGACATCCTAACATCCCCGCCTGACATCCTCACGTCACCTCCCGACATCCTAACATCACCTCCTGACATCCTCACGTCCCCTCCTGACATCCTAACATCACCTCCTGACATCCTCACGTCACCTCCTAACATCCTCACGTCACCTGCTGACATCCTCATATCACCACCAAACATCATCACGTCCCCTCCCGACATCCTCACGTCACCTCCTGACATACTCTTATCACCTCCCAACATCCTCATATCACCTCCAGACCTCATCACGTCACCTCCTGACATCATCACGTCACCTCTCGACATCCTAACATTACCTCCTGACATCATCACGTCACCTCCCGACATCCTAACCTCACCTCCTGACATCCTCACGTCACCTCCCGACATCCTCACGTCACCTCCCTGACATACTCATATCACCTCCCGACATCTTCCCGTCACCTCCTGACATCCTAACATCACCTCCTGACATCCTCACGTCACCTCCTGACATACTCATATCCCCTCCCAACATCCTCATATCACCTCCAGACATCATCACGTCCCCTCCTGACATCATCACGTCACCTCTCGACATCCTAACATCCCCTCCTGACATCATCACGTCACCTCCCGACATCATCACGTCACCTCTCGACATCCTAACATCCCCTCCTGACATCCTCACGTCACCTCCTGACATCCTAACATCACCTCCTGCCATCATCACGTCACCTCCTGACATCCTCATATCACCTCCCGACATCATCACGTCACCTCCTGACATCCTCACGTCACCTCCTGACATCCTAACATCACCTCCTGACATACTCACGTCACCTCCTGACATCCTAACATCACCTCCTGACATCCTCACGTCACCTCCCGACATCCTACCATCACCTCCTGACATCTTATCCTCATATCACCTCCCGATATCCTAATGTCACACCCCATCACCCCCCTTCATCCCCCTGTCCCCCCGTCCCCCATTTAGCTCCGGACATCCTCATGCCACCTACGGAATCCTATTGTTAACTTCCACTAATTATGTAGAAGTCAAGCAACAACTGTTTACTTTTATAGCTTGTGAAGACTCATGGTGGAAAGCAGCAGTTTTTTCCAATCCCACCCAAGACTGTGGCACCCAATCTCCAGGACCGTCCTATGGAAATGAAGGTGTCTGACCGTACTGCCAACGCTTTACGCAATGTGGAGCGCAACCAGTGGCACACAACTTATGACCTCAATCACACGGGGCTTGGCCCGGCCAACCCGCTCAAGCTTGACAACTTCAATGACAAATGTGCCAAGTATGAGGCTACCGGACTCGAGGATGACTTACTGGTCAGTGATAACAAATTTTCTACAAGGGGAGTTAACCGGGGTAAACATCGAAAATTAATATAAACTTTGAGTGCACACATGAGTGATGTGATTGACACATTATCCAACATGATTGGTTTAAAAAGTATAAATCTCACAGTGATAAATCTACAAGCGTGTCCTGGGCCCGTAGAATTTTGATTTGACCCATGGAGTTTCTGAAAATACTTGAATTTAACATGGTGGGACCTACATATTTTAACCATACAGTGGAGAAAGACCCATAAAAACTGACTGTAGATTGATCACTATCTCAGGTGTTTTGAATGCTAATCAAGCTCTTTATACCTTTTGTAGTACCCTCGATCAATAAACACAATTGACCCTCCACGACCTTTTGAGGGCCGCATATCAAAGATGTTGATCCCCAAACCACCAAACCAGAAACCTGACAAGTCCGGAGACCAGAATGCAGGATATGTAAGGTAAGTAAAACTAGGAGGCCAGGTGCTAACTGCCACTTAGGTAATTGGGGATGTGTGACGGGAAGGGGAGGGGGGAGGGGGTTGTGCTGTCAGCAAGTACATGTGCACTTCATCCCATATATCCATTGGAAACAAATTGTGTACAAAATGTTGTCCCCTGAACACCGGAACAGATTCAGTATATATTTACACCTTAATAAGGTAACATCCACTTCTACACTTAATTAGATTTTGAGTGGTCATTTGTGAAGTTAAACGGTCAAAGGACAAACTTGACCACTTTTGAAGTTTGAAGTAAACTGTTTGTGTATAAGATATCTTACAAACCTCTTAACAGATCTAGTTTTTATTTACGCGATAGTGTGAATATATCAAATTCTACAGCCGATTCAACTTTGGTGGGTCATCAGTCAAGGGAAGGGTCAAAAGTCACACTTGACCACTTTGAGTCACAAGGTATCTAAATCCCTGCTCAACTTGATTTTATTATCAATCAGGAGAGTGACCAGGCATGCATGTTCAGCAGGTTGAACTCATAGGGTTAATAAACCAGTTTCAGTATATAGCCCCAAATCCGTTGGTCTTCAGTTCTGATTTAAGTATTTCTATATTTTTTGTATTGCTGTTTGCCAGGATGCAGACTCTCCATGAGAAGGAGGAGGACCGTCTGTGGAACGGTAAAAAGTATGTGAGTTGGCCCGACACAGGTAAAACTTCCACAAAGCAACACAAGACCCTGCGATGGAATGAACTTAACAATGAGGCCCACCCAGAGGTCAATATTGACAAACTGAACGACGTGACAGACGGGGAGTTCCCAGGTGACATCCCGTACAAGCCCACGATAGGTATGCCCGACAGGACAGAGGAGGATTACCTCACCTCAACCAAAGTCAGGCAGGACATGGACTTCCAGCAGATGGAGGCACAAAACCGCTTCAAGGTAAGCTTACAAACAGAAACAAACTGCTTCAAGGTAGGCTTACAAACAGAAACAAATTGCCTCAAGGTAGGCTTACAAACAGAAATAAACTGCTTCAAGGTAGGCTTACAAACAGAAACAAATTGCCTCAAGGTAGGCTTACAAACAGAAATAAACTGATTCAAGGTAGGCTTACAAACAGAAACAAACTGCTTCAAGGTAGGCATACAAACAGAAACAAATTGCCTCAAGGTAGGCTTACAAACAGAAATAAACTGCTTCAAGGTAGGCTTACAAACAGAAATAAACTGCTTTAAGGTTGGCAAACACAGACATGTTTCACAATTAAAGCTTTCATAGAATGCAAATATATAGGATAATGGACAAAACAAATAAGGCTTACACAAGTAAGGCTAGTCTGTGTTAGTATTCTTTAACTTTGTGAAGCTTAAGTAACATTTACCAGTAACTTATTAAAACTTATACTGAAACTGAATTGTTTCTATTGCAGGTTCTTGAGGCACAGTCTCCTGGGCACGAACTGACAGCTCTGAACTGTAAGTACCAGCACGTGACCGACACAGAAAAGCCTCGTACATTCTATAGTCATGAAGGAAAGTACAACGAGGAGCGCGCTGGAATGTACCATACCAGTTACCTTCCAGAGCGCCTCACCAACAGTATGAGCGGACAGGAGCGAAGTCCGCCAGAAATAATGAATACCATGCATTCTCACGTTGACGCTTTAAATCTACCGACAAAGCTGAACAGAGATATGAAAGACGCTCTGAGGTATAGCCGCAGCCTGAACACCAGTACGGCCAATCTGACTGGAGACATGCGCGAAGCCCACGAGGTCTTGACCCCATTACATCATGTTAAGGAGGCACAGAAGATGATCCTCCAGCCGACGGAGGACACTGCGCGAGTACCTGTCCTGGAGAAGGAGACCATTCTAAAGGAAAGTGTCACAGGCAGTAGTTACAACACACACAAGTTTCTACAGGACCATCAGCTTCCTAGGTTTGCCCGTCAGGAACCGCTCAATCTTATGTCCAACGAAAATCAAAATTTAGCCAATGTTCGCCTGATATCGGGACTTAAACCACAGAAAAGTGTATCATTTTCAGACAGCGTCACCGTGGCGAGCGGTGATGAAGATGGAAATGTGCGTATTATCAGTGCTCCGTCCAGAATGCAGCGGGGAGACGGGAAAGAAAATATTCCCCCCGGTAAGATCTGTACCACACAGTATACCAGCTCCCAGGCACTTTACAGTCCTTTTAATGACCAAGAGACACAACCAAAACATGAGCCCTCCATCTTTGAACGTCAGATGAGAGCATTGAACGAGGAAAGAGAAATGGAAAAACAGAGGGAGAGGGAAATGGAAGAACAACCTGCTATCTCCACCCGCCAACCAAGGCGCCGTGCAGCAACTTCCCTAGATACTGAATACCATGATGAATATAGGAGTTTGTCATCCAACATCGCCCCGACCAATTTACGGCATTCCATGCAGTTCAGCACAGCGTATCAGAACCAGTTCCCGACCTACCATGACCTGACATACAAGCAGGACCCACGCTTCATGTGGGAGCCCGGTTTTGGCTCACCCAGACCCCAGACCAATCTGATCAACATCCAGGATCGTTTCAGCAAGTCTTCTGTCCAAAAGAAGTTCCACAATGAGTTCTGTGAGAGTAATCCAGATCTTCGGCAAAACCTAATCAAAGGGAAAAAACATACATTCTTTGGTATGAATGCCCAAAATTTGCATGGGTGATGATTTGGGCACCGACTTAAATCAATAGGTTTTTAATAGGTAATTCTTGACCATCCATATCACAGGTCTTTTATCATGCATTTTAACCCTTTCTCCCCCTAAGTAACTTTAGTAGACTCTACCATGCATTGATTGATCTGGATGAGTCCATTATGGTCTACAGTGGTGACAGTGTTAAATTGAACATCAAAATGTGTTTTTTTTTATATACATTTTGTATGAAATTGTGACATGCAAAGTTTTTTCTGTTCTTATTACTGATTAGACAGAGGTTAGAATCTAGTGGGATTGATGTGTTAGCACCCCAAATTGTACAACTTTTTCACTTCTATTATCCCGAAAAATAAATTAATGAATGGAGGTAGGGGTAGGTGAGTTGCTAATATAAAATTTTCAGCGTAATTCATGCCTCCATTACCATGAAATCCCACTACAAAATATATTTTGAACAATAAATATTGTTCTCTTTTTAACTACAGGCCTATAATATGTGATTTACATGGACCTGTTACCAGTATGTTATTTCAATGAACTTATCAGCATATAGATGTGACTTCATTATTGAGAGTTAGATATAATCATTGTTTTGTGTATTGTAAAAATTACCAATGTCTTCACTAAAATATATAGCCATTTTTACCCCTTATTCTAATTCCACTTTGATTAAAAACACTGATTCAGTAAAACAAAGCAAGCTCCCGTGAAATATATTATCATCTGATACACATAGGAAACTGTTACAAACGTATCAGTAATTAAATGCTTGTTTCAATTTCATCTCAGATAAATGTAAACTTTAATTAATTGGTGTTTTTCTTGCCTAATATTCCAGTATTTTGATGTTTTAAAAATAATTGTCCCTCTAATCAACAATTTAAATTAGTATAAATAAGTAAATCTTTGGTTTGATAAAAAATAAATAAAAAAATTGTAGCAGCGGATAACGCAGTAGTCTATACCTACATGTGAGACATGTCACTATTACGTTACTGGTCCCCTATAATCACATAACACTATTAAATTATCATTTACACAAAGCTAAAAAAAAGTAATACTAACAATCTGAAAATCTGACTCGCATTTAAAACAAATTTACATAGTCATGTTGGTTATATGGAAAAGGTGCTAATTTGTAGTTACAATGTTAATAAAAATAGTTTAGATATATTTAGTCTATACTTATATATCAGTATAAATACTCTAGCTAAACTGAATTGAAAATAAAATGTAAAAACAACCCGATCAGGGCAATCATCAGCCGATTAATTAGAAGGCTCTCTGTTTTCACTATTAGCAGTATTTAAATAACACACCTTTCAGAACCTGGCTAAACTTTCGAGAGAGAAAGAAAGAAAAAAAAACTATTTGCTTATTTTAGAGACACCTCCATTATGCACTTCAGATTAATTAAACTAAATGAGTGTAGTTTCTACGTCATGTTCTTCAGTGATAAGAATTATGTACATTACTGATCTATAAATAGCCTAGTCAACATTATTATGATCCATGCATGTTTACACTTGGCCGAGTTATGCAAGATTATCCAGATCACATTTTCATCTAAAAAGAGATAAGAGAGAAAAGAATCAAAACTAATAGATATAATATATATCTATAATCAAAATTACACCAACAACGTTACTGGTTTATCTTTATTATTGGAGGACTGGTATTTAAGAGGAAGAAGTTATTCCACTTTAAAAGAATTTTTCTGAGAATATTTCTATAGGCATTGTTGTAAGCCTGTTAGTTTGTTAATATATTTCCTTTATATACTGTAATCATATATTTTGTAACTTAAAATGGTTCTTTTTCTTGTTTTTATTTGTGATACCTTGTCTTGTTCTGGTCAGAATGACAACAGGTTTGAATTTTAATCTTTTGTCCAATCTTTGTTGTCTTTGACATATATTTTATACAATTCATTACATTTCTGGAGTTTGTTATATTTATATAAGACCACGTGTGTGTGTAAAAAGAAGTATTTCAGAAAACTTGTTATATATTATTAGCACATATATCTTATGATGCATGATCTTGTTCACAACAAAGCTTTTGATCGATGGTGGTCAGGTCATGTTGATGCTTTGTTAATGGATCCGAGTCCATATATCCAATCATACTGGATCTTGGTCCTGTTGGCGTTTGCATTTGATGGTCCTTATATTGTTTGTATGATGATTACCACAGGTAAACACAGTGCTGTTGATGGATCATTGTCTTATGAAAGTTTATGTTCACAGATCATGGTCATATGAATGTTTTTTTATGATCATACTCCTGATGATGTTTGTAAGTTACCTGGTGTCCCATTTGTGGTATCACCAATCTGTGCTCATCACATACCTATCAGTATTATAGTGTTTTAATCACTTATTTATCATTATATATTACACATTGTTTGAATGCTTCCATCAGCCTAGTTAGGATAGAATCCTACTTTGTTAACTTATATACATCCGTGTCCATGGACAGCTGTTTCGTGATATCGTTTTGGGATCAGCTGTATTGACCTACCGGTACAATATTCGCCAGTCCGATTATATTCTGGGTCAAATCCACAGCTGTATTTGATATTTACCGGTAATAGGCACTTTCAATATGTCGGCCATTTTAGGGAGAGAATCTCAGAGGAGATCAATTTGTATTTTGATAGTGCTGTATTTCTACCAGTGTGTGCTTTCTGTCCTCAAAAAATTCTAAATGCATAATAAATTTTTAATTTTTAATTGTCTTTTACTCCCAACAGCAGCCGAGTGGAAACGAAATGTTGCTACAAACTTAATCTCTTTGTTTAATGATCAATGTAAGTTCTAATTTTTAAATTGATAACCAAGATAAAATTACATCAATTAATTATAAGGATTGACTGAATTTTTAAAGCCAGGAGGAACGGTTATATCATTGTTTTACATTATCTGTGATACTGCCCGAAACCTAGTACAAGTGACAGCACTATACTGGGTGTCTGGGTGATGGAAGTTGTACATTATCTGTGATACTGCCCGAAAACCTAGTACAAGTGACAGCACTACTGGGTGTCTGGGTGATGGAAGTTGTACATTATCTGTGATACTGCCCGAAAACCTAGCACAAGTCACAGCACTACGGGGTGTCTGGGTGATGGAAGTTGTGTCGGAACATTCGTCGTATTTATAGTTGGTCTACATTAATAACGTTATATGTATATTTTTATAGTTGCATGTTGTTAATTATTATATAATACACTTATCGCACTTTGAAAAGAATTTGACGCTAAACAAATTTCATAAAGTCACGGAACAATGTAAACATGTGTTACTGTATTTCATTCTTTGTCAGGTTTTGGGATGTTTATGACTCTCAACATTATATATATGGTGATAATGATACAGACTGACCAATGATATGCCGTGGTTTAATCCTTAACCAGTCTTTACCGGAGTAGGTACAACAGCCTTCCAGAATTCGGCAGGGCCATGTCTGGATCCATGTTTAACCATGCCTCATTCAATAACAGTTAATATCGCTGCATTGCCATAATGTACATATAAAAAAAAAGTTGAGTTAAGGGAACTTCTTCTCCAATGACATTTAACCTTTATTAAAATATCTAAGGATATATGCTACCTTACAAACTATGATTAGCAGTAGGGTTATCTCCCTTTTAAAGTTTTTATTACTTGATGAAATGATATCAAGCGTCATCCAAGTACACAGACACATCCCTGTGTGTACCTCATGTCACTGATGGTGTAATCTAGTCCAAACATTGATATAAAGGTGTGGGTTTTTTTTATAAGAATAACTAAGAACTCTTTGTGAAACAAAATTCATGTCAAGCTAAGGTAGCATAAATCCTTAAGGTAAATTATGGAACTCTATTGAGCTTGAAAACTTATGATAGAGTAACGGTTCTTCACTGCTGGGTAATAATGTTAAGGGGATTAAACCCGAGACAAATAATGTTTAGTATAACAGTGTACATCAAATGTGATTCTATTTTTCAACCCGTGGACAGAGGTGAGAACACATGTTTTGATTGTCAGTTGCTTTTCTAGTATGCAGTCTTGAGAACACATCAGTTGATTGAGAATAAATACCATTTAAATCCTGATAATTATAATAGCGAATCATTTTTGTGTTAAATTTAAACACTAGTATTATGATACAGACTGTTCTGCAGGTTGTTGAATTATTATGTGTTGGTTTGTGATCCAGTATCTACTTACTATATTATTTTGTGATTGAATTGCACATTCCTTTATGCAATAAACTTTGCTCAAGAACTTTTAGTTGTTCAAGTGTTTTCATAATAATAAATAGCTGTAATCATGGATGCAGTGATTTGCTTTCCTTTGGATTTGCAGTAACTGTTGAAACAGTTATTCTGAGAGCCCGATTAATTTGCCCTCCCAATACCATACCATAATAGTGGAAAACGCTCTCTTTAGAGTCTTAGGTTCTCGGGCCCTCCTGGAATAGGTCATGACAAAATCAGGGGCTCTGTAAGCGTTACTTTGTGGATGATAAAGTGGACTAGTTTGATGTACATCAAAAGAATGATGTGGTATTATTATACCTCGGTCACATTGATTGGCGACACGCTTTAGCAAAGTAATAAAATTTGCGGACATACTGACATATTTGTCCATATTGACAACAGCGGAATCAATTACAAAGGCCAACATACTGACACGGGCGTCCAGATTGACAACAGCGGTAATATTTACATAGGCAAACATGTTAATATGAGATGTAAAATCAAAACCCTTTGAAATAAATATTGCGGTGACTTTTCCATTGTGCTAATTAATTACCATACCAGGAATACTTTCAGGAAGAATTCATTAATTCAAATGTTAACAAATGAACCTTTTCTGTTCTATAGCGTCCCCGATATTTCAGGGGTTATGCTCGCTTTGGCTCTCTGCACCCCTGGAATATGTCATAGCAAAATGTCATATTCCAGGGGTGCAGAGAGCCAAATTGAGCCTTACCCCCAGAGTATCAACTATGGTTCTATTGTACACAGATGTTAAGTATCAATGTGGACCCGAAACAGTTATTACTTTATCTGTACAGTGGACCATACAGAGTAGGGTAGCTACCAAATTTACCTCACACAGTGTCAAGAAGAATGATAAAGGAAAAGCCAGTCCTGAAGATGTGATTATCTCTGTACATTTTATTGTCGTCATCCAATCCAGTCTTACTCAAAAAGGTATAGATAGAGGTGCATAAAGGTCAAACAGCCACTTAAAGAATGAAAAATAGAATTTATAATAAATGACATGATCTTATTGAAACCAGGACCTGAGAAGTAACAGCATCAAACAGCCTGTCTCTACAGCATCAAAACAGCCTGTCTCTACAGCATCAAACAGCCTGTATCTACAGCATCAAAACAGCCCGTCTCTACAGCATCAAACAACCTGTATCTGCAATAATATACCTGTATCATCAACAGAGACTAATTATCTACTAAGGATCCAAGTGACGGTGACTTTCAGCAAAGATTGCTTTCTATAGTAAATATTGAAACTTTTAATTCATTTTGATGCAAAATGTACAAGCTCCAGACATCCTACAGACAGATCTAGAGTACATCCTAATTACACTGTACAGTGGACCACACAGAGTATATCTTATTAACACTGTAAAGTGGACCACACAGAGTAAATCCTAATTACACTGTACAGTGGACCACACAGTAAATCATAATAACATTGTACAGTGGACCACACACAGTACATCTGAATTACACTGTACAGTGGACCACACAGAGTACATCTGAATTACACTGTACAGTGGACCACACAAAGTAAATCCTAATAACACTGTACAGTGGACCACACAGAGTAAATCCTAAAAACACTGTACAGTGGACCACACAAAGTACATCCTAATTACATTGTACAGTGGACCATACAGAGTACATCACAAGTACACTGTAGTGGACCATACAGAGTACATTCTAATGACATTGTACAGTGGACCACACATAGTACATCCTAATTACACTGTACAGTGGACCATACAGAGTACATCCCAAGTACACTGTAGTGGACCATACAGAGTACATCCTAATTACACTGTACAGTGGACCAGAGTATATCCTAATTACACTGTACTGTGGACCACAAAGAGTATGTCCTAATTACACTGTACAGTGGACCATACAGAGTACATTCTAATGACATTGTACAGTGGACCACACATAGTACATCCTAATTACACTGTACAGTGGACCACACAGAGTAAATCCTAAAAACACTGTACAGTGGACCACACAAAGTAAATCCTAATAACACTGTACAGTGGACCACACAGAGTAAATCCTAATTACACTGTACAGTGGACCACACACAGCACATCTGAATTACACTGTACAGTGGACCACACAGAGTAAATTCCTAATTACACTGTACAGTGGACCACACACAGTACATCTGAATTACACTGTACAGTGGACCACACAAAGTACAACCTAATTACACTGTACAGTGGACCATACAGAGTACATTCTAATTACACTGTACAGTGGACCACACACAGTACATCTGAATTACACTGTACAGTGGACCACACAAAGTACATCCTAGGTACACTGTCCCGTGGACCACACAGAGTACATCTTAATTACACTGTACCGTGGACCACAAAGAGTATACATCATTATGACATTTAAGTGGACCACACAGAGTACATTTTAATTACACTGTACAGTGGACCACACAAAGTACATCCTAAGTACACTGTACCGTGTACCACACAGAGTACATCTTAATTACACTGTACAGTGGACCATACATAGTACATCCTAACTACACTGTACCGTGTACCACACAGAATACATCTTAATTACACTGTACAGTGGACCATACATAGTACATCCTAACTACACTGTACAGTGGACCACACAGAGAACATCTTATTTACACTGTACAGTGGACCACACAGAGTAAATCCTAATTACACTGTACAGTGGACCACACACAGTACATCTGAATTACACTGTACAGTGGACCACACAAAGTACAACCTAATTACACTGTACAGTGGACCACACATAGTACATCATAATTACACTGTACAGTGGACCATACAGAGTACATCTTAATTATACTGTACCATGGACCACAAAGAGTATACATCATTATGACATTTAAGTGGACCACACAGAGTACATTCTAATTACACTGTACAGTGGACCACACAGAGTACATCCTAATTACACTGTACAGTGGACCACACATAGTACATCCTAATTACACTGTACAGTGGACCACAAAGTGTACATTCTAATTACACTGTACCGTGGACCACACAGAGTACATCCTAATTACACTGTACAGTGGACCACAAAGAGTATACATCATTATGACATTTAAGTGGACCACACAGAAAACATTCTAATTACACTGTACAGTGGACCACACAGAGTATACATCATTATGACATTTAAGTGGACCACACAGAGTACATTTTAATTACACTGTACAGTGGACCACACAAAGTACATCCTAATTACACTGTACAGTGGACCACAAAGTGTACATTCTAATTACAATGTACCGTGGACCACACAGAGTACATCCTAATTCCACTGTACAGTGGACCATACATAGTACATCCTAACTACACTGTACAGTGGACCACACAAAGTAAATCCTAAGTACACTGTACTGTGCACCACAAAGAGTATACATCATTATGACATTTAAGTGGACCACACAGAGTACATTTTAATTACACTGTACAGTGAACCACACAAAGTACATTTTAAGTACACTGTACCGTGGACCACACATAGTACATCCTAATTACACTGTACCGTGCACCACAAAGAGTATACATCATTATGACATTTAAGTGGACCACACAGAGTACATTTTAATTACACTGTACAGTGGACCACACAGAGTAAATCCTAATTACACTGTACAGTGGACCACACATAGTACATCCTAATTACACTGTACTGTGGACCACAAAGAGTAAATCCTAATTACACTGTACAGTGGACCACACAGAGTAAATCCTAATTACACTGTACAGTGGACCACACAGAGTACATCATAGTTACATTGTACAGTGGACCACACAGAGTACATCTTATTTACACTGTACAGTGGACCACACAGAGTAAATCCTAATTACACTGTACAGTGGACCACACAGAGTACATCCTAATTACACTGTACATTGGACCACACACAGTACATCTGAATTACACTGTACAGTTGACCACAAAGAGTATACATCCTTATGACATTTAAGTGGACCACACAGTTTAGTCCTAATTACACTTAAGAGAAGACTTCAAAGTAAACATCCTTATAATACAGTTTCTCAACAATAACAACATGATACATATTATATCCTGATCTGTAGTGTTCTATACACGATACCACGCTGGGTAACACCACAACACCAACAAAATAACTGACATAGGTACTTACTCTCATCAACAAAACAATTCAGAATATACATAATAAGTCACACTGCTTCCATAACTCTGGCACACAACAATTAACAACAGTTTGTAACACCTTATAAAGCAACCTTTATACTGTACAATACAGTGACCTTGTACAGCATCAGTGATAGTGTACAGTACAGCGACCTTGTACAGCATCAGTGATACTGTACATTACAGTGACCTTGTACAGCATCAGTGATAGTGTACAGTACAGCGACCTTGTACAGCATCAGTGATAATGTACAGTACATCGACCTTGTACAGCATCAGTGATATTGTACAATACAGTGACCTTGTACAGCATCAGTGATATTGTACAGTACAGCGACTTTGTACAGCATCAGTAACACCTTGTACAGTACAGCGACCTTGTACAGCATCAGTGATGTTGTACAGAACAGTGACCTTGTACAGCATCAGTGATGCCTTGTACAGTACAGCGACCTTGTACAGCATCAGTAATGCAGTACATTATGTGACCTTGTATAGCATTAGTGATGCCTTGTACAGCATTAGTGATGCCTTGTACAGCATCAGTGATGCCTTGTACAGCATTAGTGATGCCTTGTACAGCATCAGTGATGTCTTGTATGATATGAGGCAATGTCTTCATTAGCGCCTTCCTCACTTTATAATCCAGTCTTCAGAAACTCCTTGTATACTTAATATCTAGTCTTCAGTCCAGTCTGCTACATTATATTTCCAGTCTTCAGTAACATCTTGTACCCTTTATATTCCGGTCTTTAGTAAAGCCTTGTACACTTAATATCCTGTTTTCAGTCATGCCTTATGTATATATCCAGTCTTCAGTAACGGTGTGTGCACTGTCAGATTATGGTCTTCAATAAAACCTTGTACTGATTTGAGGAGTCAGCTGAAACATAGTGAAATATGGGTTTTAATCAAATCAAACAAAGGTGTACAGTGGAACTTTACTTAATACTGCCGGTAAAATATATTTTAACGTATTCAATGTTTTTGAGTGCAAGTTTACTATAATAATGAAAATAATTTGAGGTTCTTATATACCGCTTTATCACAACCTAGTTCGTAAGTCGTCTCATAAAAGCACTTCACAAATTATTAAACGTTGTTATAGGTTCTTTGCAACCAGCCAACATCTTTCTCAACTCCCTGGGGAGCATACCGCCGGTGCTGCCATTTTGGCGCTCATAGCTAGCATCAAACAATTCTAGCACTGCCCAACCACATACTCATACTAAGTACTCACTATTGGATAAAGTCAACACATGAGACCAGTAAATCACTTAACCCGTACTATTGTTGATTAATAAAGGACTTAACATTCTAGTATCACAAAGAACTACAATATCATTCAACAAGCCATCACAAGTTAGTGCATCTTGTACACATAACATACGAATCAGATAATGTTAAGTTTGGTTTTCATGGGATTCTATTTACATTTTTTTTTACGATTTTCACCGAAAAACACTTTCTGCCAAATGATCAACTCGCAAAGATATTAATGTGCCATGGCTTCTAGACCAGAAGTCTGTGAAAGGTTGATTCCCCGAGACGGACCATTTCAAAAATGGATAAAAATTATGAACAGTGAAAAAACAACAATTTACATTACATAACCATTATGGCATTTTGTTAGCATTATGTAAAGTAACAGCTAAATGAAGCCATATTATCCAGTGAAACACTACTAGAATGTACATGTTTTTACACGTCTAACAAAGTATTTTTTGTCCCTGTTAAGGGATTATATCATCAACATTGAAATCTATGAGGAATCACGTCCTCTGGCTGCTTGATACACTTATTTCATTGCATTCCAGGTTTAAGAATGACAATTCTGATATAGGGGCCAGATTTCTGTTTTTCTATTTTAGAAATATGCCACCAATTCTCCCATTTCACAATCTAGCCTTTCCTTTCGGGAAGGAATGTGGCAAAAACCAGTGTGGCTCAACTAATAAAAACTGTGTATCGTTCTCACCCGAGTTCGTGTGAATGTAAATCCTACAAAATCGATTTTTCGTCCGTATTTATGACGACAACACTTACATTTTATGGCCTCCACACAAAATCTTGACTGATCATCCAAATTGCCCACAACCTGTAAAGATACAAGTGGTCTACCTGTCAATAAACTCAAAGCACAGCGACAACTATTGGAAACCAAACTACATGCACTTATCATTTTGTTTCAGACAGACATGTTTTCAGATTACACAGGCTCAGTTTGCATAAAAAATATGTGCAGTGGAACTTAATTGAAAGTCTGGTTTATAAAGGTTTTCTGATTATACAGGTTTTCTGATTATACAAGTTTTCTGATTATACAGGTTTTCTGATTATACAGGTTTTCTGATTATACAAGTTTTCTGATTATACAGGTTTTCTGATTATACAAGTTTTCTGATTATACAGGTTTTCTGATAACACAGTTTAAGTTTATATAGAAATGTATACATGGGACCTAGTTATAGCTCTGATTTATACAGGTTTTCTGATTACACAGGTTAAGTTTACATAGAAATATGTATGTTGGGACCTCGTTATAGTTCTGGTTTATACAGGTTTTCTGATAGCACAGGTTTTCTGATGACACAGATCAAGTTAGCTCACCTCATCTGTGACCAGTATATAGATATCCGAGGGTCCCTGACAATATAATTCGGCGATCTGTTCTGGCCCCACGCTGTATAGTGCTGCTAGCTTACATGTTAACTCGTGACTGCATAGGCTCTCCATGTACAGGGCATGGTACACTGAACATATAAAATATAATGTATTTTTAAAATAATATGGTTATGGTACATTAAACTTGTCAAATGTAACATATTTTTTAATTAATTTGGTCATGGTCCACTACACACAACAAATACCCACAGTTTAAATATGTCAAGCATACAGAATATTGTACGTAAAAAAACTTCACAAAATTAAATCACAAAATTTCAGAATTGAATATATATAATGAAATTATTTGCTATTACATATATGAGATTTATACAACCATTTACAGTCAAACTCCCATAAATTGAAATTTGTAGATTCAAATTTCTCGGTGTTTTGATCTATGGGCAAAGTCCAACAATACTACTGATATTCCATTTATGAAATTCAATCAAACTTTAAAGAGTCGAATTTCTCGCTGTTTCGAACTGCAATCAGCGTCTGATCATTAGGTAAACGTTGAAAATTACAACTAATAACTCAAATTAAAACAACTACATGTACCTGTACAAGAACATTGCGATGTCCCTAGGTCATTTCACCATCTTAACATGCATATACGACCGTGTATAAATACATATAACTTATTTCTAGGTTATAAACATAAAAAAGGTATTTTTACCTGAGTCACTTTCTTGACATACAAAGATAGTAAGCCTTGGTCGGACAGCTCTACAAACAGAAAAAAATATATACATCACCTTGGTCAAACAGTGCTACAATAAAATAAAAAAGAAAGACTAAAAATGTAAAATACCTTGGTATTGTATGATAAACTTGCTAATGGTGGAAAAACTTGTGTAAGGAAACAATGTTGAGAATCTAACGCCATAAAGAGTGTTGTTTAAGCCACAGTCAAGTAATTCTTTATTCAAACTTTATTATGGAAAGTAAGCCAGCAATCTGTGGTCTGATGCGATGCTGTGGTGAGATCAATTCTTACTACATGACACTATGACTCACTTGTCTTGTAACGCATTGTTTAGCCGGATTCCGTCAACAATCCCGCAGATTTGTATGAGATCTTCTCGAGATAGTCGTAAAATATCAGCCCCTGTAACAGACAAAATGGAGCTGTTTAATGTAATGTAACTGGATACACTTCTGTTCCACCTTTATCTGATATTGATGTAACCCGGGTATATACATAAGCGATGAATAGTTTTAAATGTCCATGATATACATACATATATATAGGATCTTACACAAGTTTCCATTTCAAATGAGATTTATGAACCGAGTCTGAGAATCTTTCAATTTAGCGAGCCTGTGGCGAGCTTAACTGAAAAATTTGTGACGAGTTTCATAAATTTCATATGAAATGGAAACGAGTGTAAGATCCTTTTTATCACATAATAAAGATTTGTGACATTTATTCGTGTAAAACGATAATTTTCATGCAACCTCCAAATGTAAAAAGCCGCCATTTTGACTCCAGTGCCTAAGTCTGGGACGTCCTGTACTTATCCTAGGCGTGACGTCACAATAGAAACAATCACAAGGTTGATAGGTCATATATGGCCAAAAAAGTATGATTACTTGGTTCTCAGGCCCGCGCGCATTTCATTTTAGGGCACCGCATTGCCGATTTTATTGTGTAAGTAATAAAAAAAAATTGTGAATGCGCCAGGTGCAATCTTTAAAAAATTCCGGAAAATTGGTCTGCATGTCGTTTTTACTCGTTAGTTGTGATTCTCGTCTGGAACATCATCGGGGTATTTTCGGAGGCTTGCTCTATGACGGGTCTCTACACAACTATAAAAAGACAACATAATGCCCAAAATGAACGTTTTACAAACAACACAATAAAAAAAAATCGCCCTCATCTCGTTTTTGCCATGTAAAATGAAAAAAAAAAAAATACCACCCTGCCGCATCTCTTGAAAAAGAATAGGCCTGAGAACCAAGTCATTAATTTTATTATTTTTTGGCATATTAACCTATTAACCCATAAAATATGACATGGGTATATGTTCACTGGATAACACAGTACATTATGTGATAAATATATATACAGTGTGTAAATATATGTTAGTACATGTAACAAGTTGCTGTCAACTGTAGGTATACACGCGCGTTGTCTCGTCTGGTAAGTGTATATGACGTCATCAGGTCGGAATGTACGTACCCGTGTTGTTATGTTCTGTCTCAACATTCTGACTGAATTGTACTTACGACGTAGACCTTGGACCTGCCCTTTGCATGAATAAAGCACCCTTATATTCCCGCCACTATATTCCGGCTAATGAGTAATTAAATACTGCCCAGTGGTCATTCTTCAAATTTGTGAAAGAAGGATCTGTACACTGGTAAATTCTATACACTTATATATATATTCATATGCGGCTTATAGAGACACTAACGCCAGCATTCATGGAGCGTTACATCCGGTTTTCGGATAGTAAAGAGAATGGAAACAAACTAAACTTGTCCGTGTTTGAGGAACCAGTGACATTTACCATCAAACTTATTACAGATCCCTGTCCCACTGCACTATACGTTTTCCCGTTTATACAGTAACCTTCCCGAAACTTTGATTTTGATTTACCTGTAGCAAAGTTGGGCAAGAACACTTCCGTTGACTCGGTACCTCAGTTGGTTAGAACAATAGTACAGTATAACAATCAGAGGGCCAGGGTTCATGTCCCAGTTGAGCCCCGCAGAAATTTTACATTCCGAACAATGTTGTTGATTATGTTTTGTTAATCTCATCTTGATTATTTTTCCAACACAAGGTATGATTTTCTTTTCAGAAATGACATATTGAAGCTATATAGTCATGTCAGATAAAACAGCTTCTTTGTCGTAGTTACAGTTCTGGGCAATGGTACGAGGTTCCTTAACTGATTAACTTTCTCTCTGTGATATCTGTAACCTCATCAAAAAAGTATGGATATAATGTAAAGTCTGTGCACATCAGGGACAGGGAAGGATGACATGAGAACTCTGGAGATGATTCTCAGTAAAGCTGGCAATGACAAACCCAGAGGTGGAATTAACTGCTGGTCTGCTGACCTGTGGTTTTCTGGGTGGACCCGTAAGTTTTTCAACAAGTTATCCTCCAGGGCCATTACGTAGATATTTTGTAAATAAATCTATCTAAAATTTTAGCAGATTTGAAAAGCTTTTCCCGGTATTTAAGCCCAGAATGCTCTACAGAGCTTCTAGATTTCAAAATTTTCTCCCCGGGGGGGGGGGGGCATGCTCCCAGGCCTACCTAGTTTTTTGCGTGCCTTTGGTGCTCAGTTGGGCCTCTAGCACTTATTTTCTGGACCAGTGAAGTTTTACCATTTTATTTTGATTCCACCCCTGCAAACCATGTAGTTGGAAATGCAGTGAGGAACTTTGAATATTTACCTGAAAAATTTTGGAATACCCGACTGTAGTTGAAGAATCTGTTGGCCTGTAGCCAGGCGGTCACCTGATTGGCTGTTGCCTCAGCAGAGAGCGCCCCCTGGAAAGCAGACAACACATGTACTAGGCCTAGATATGTTTAGAAGTATAACTCATTTGAAGCTAGTTTAAAATCGCATGTCAAATTAAAGTACTTGACAAAGATTTATAAGTTTCATTGTTTCTATTTATAGGATGCGCAAATATCTTTTGAAGAATACAGAAATGTCAAATTCGGAAAAGTGATCACACAAATTTGGTAACACAAGTCATTTTTTAATTGTATAATAATAATAATAATGATTCGAGGATCTTATATATCGCTTTATCACAACCTAGTTTGTGAGTCATCTAAAAGCGGTTCACAAATTATTATCCATGGTTATAGGGCCTTCGCAACCAGCCAATATCTTTCTCAACTCCCTGGGGAGCGAACAGGCGTTGCTGCCATTTAGGCACTCACAGCTAGCATTCAATAATTCTAGCAATGCCCAACCACACTCTCATTTACAGCTGAGTAGACTGGAACAAGCGGAGTAAAGATACAAAGAAACAACATAGTGCCGTGACGCAACTCGAATCTGCGACCCTTCGGTCACGAGCCCGGCGTCCTACCACTAGACTACTGTATCTCCGCATCTATCATATAAGTTAATTTCCAGCATCATCACAACATTCAAGGCCCTAAAGATTTTCCAAAACATCAAATATTCAAACTGATCAATAAAAATTGACATAAAAATTGACAGAAACGTTTTTATTTACTCTATAAAATCTTTTAAAATATATAACTGGACAGCTTAACATACGTCCTTGTAACTGTGGTGTACTTACTGGAGCGACAGGGTCTATTGGACTGTCAGATGAGGTGCGATTGTTAATGATAGGAGTGAGCCCGTCCCCTGGGTTGTCCCCCGAGGGGTTGGGTGTTGATGTGACAGAGGACGGCCCAGCAGTCCGTAAGGGGGAATGACCAATGACTGTGACGGATGGAGACCTGAAACATCAAAATAAACACTTAAGTATAAGTGACCGGCATACGTGGAACATTCACTTCAAGTACAAGTCTGGTAACAAGAGTTTAACTGTGATTTTGAATATTACTAAGTATGATAATTCACTCAAGCGGGATGGACAGACACACAACACCCCTTATAAGTTGAAAAACTGATACAATTCAGATGATTACCACTGTGGATACATGTAGTCCCGCTAATAGCTCATAAATGAATTCCAACAGAGCATACACAACACGGCAGAATCTTGCTTATAGATGAATTTATTCTAGCCTTGTGTTTACATGTTTTGGATACTCATTAGGAGACATATATGGATTCTAACAAGAGTTCCACATGAGTGGATGTGATTATGAAGACAGGATCTATTTATATTAACGGTTTGACCTTTGACCTTCGGACCTAAAAAGCAATCCAAAGCAAGCACTATTGGTTAGAAAGCACTGTATGACGTCTGAGCTCGATCGACCTAAAGAAACTTTGAAATCTTGTTTCGGACGACGCAACCGACGATGCCGACAATGTAATACCTATATGTCACCTTGGTTTTGGCGACACAAAAAGGGGGAATGTACCCAAGATGAATATACCTCAATGTTTTCTGAGCTCTTAGCCATACTGGTGTAACAGAGTCATTATTTTTTCAATGCCTCCACTAGAAGTCGAACCGAAAACCTCTGGTTTACTAGTCTTACGCTCTACTGAGTGAGCTAAAGAGAAATTCTCCCAAGCTGAGTCGGTAGGAAGCGGCTAGTATTTTACCAGGGTGACAGTGGGAAATATTGTAGGGGACTTTACCCCTATGGTATCTGTGCTTGCTTTAGAGGATGTGACTTACCTTGTAGCACAGAGCTCTGAGAAGCTCTAAGCCAGACGTGGACGGGCACTTTACCCCTATAGTAGCTGTACTTGCTAGGATTTGACTCACCTTGTAGCACTGAGCTCTGAGAATCTCTGAGCCAGATGTGGATGTTGACTTCACCCCTATAGTAGCTGAACTTGCTAGGATTTGACTCACCTTGTAGCACTGAGCTCTGAGAAGCTCTGAGCCAGATGTGGATGGGGACTTCACCCCTATAGTAGCTGAACTTGCTAGGATTTGACTCACCTTGTAGCACTGAGCTCTGAGCCAGATGTGGATGGGGACTTCACCCCTATAGTAGCTGAACTTGCTAGGATTCGACTCACCTTGTAGCACTGAGCTCTGAGAAGCTCTGAGCCAGACTTGAGAATGTTGACTTCACCCCTATAGTAGCTGAACTTGCTAGGATCGACTCATCTTGTAGCACTGAGCTCGGAGAAGCTCTGAGCCAGACTTGAGAAGGTGGACGGGGACTTCACCCCTATAGTAGCTGATTTTGCTAGGATTCGCAACACCTTGTAGCACTGAGCTCTGAGAAGCTCTGAGCCAGACTTGAGAAGGTGGACGGGGTCTTCACCCCTATAGTAGCTGAACTTGCTAGGATCGACTCATCTTGTAGCACTGAGCTCGGAGAAGCTCTGAGCCAGACTGGAGAAGGTGGACGGGGACTTCACCCCTATAGTAGCTGAACTTGCTAACACTTGCTCCAAAGGAACCTAAAACAAAGGAACGTGTTATCACAGATTTACATAGCCATTGTTAGCCTGTATAGTTATATTATTTCCTGTAGCATGTTATCATTAGAAAGCCAGATTAAAATGTATATATATATTGGTCCAAGTGAATACAACTACGTCTCACCAGTCCGACTGAATATCAATATTTCTATGAGTGTAAAGCATGAGTGAAAACACTATCTTCTGCCTCATGGGTAAATTAAGAACATTATTCAATGGGCAACCGTAAGATTTTCTATTTATCACATCTTTGAATCTCTTATTGATTTGTGAAGCAAAAATTAGCTTTTAAATTTGCACGAAGTTTGGTGACATGATGTCATCCTTTGGTTGCGATACTGAACACTGTTTACTTCTGTTAGACTATTTGCCAGTCAGTTTGCTACTTTGATATGAGATATATTACTCATATAAGATGAGATTTCACCCACGAAGGGTGAACATTTCCCGGTGTACAGTGGTACAACAGTCTATTATACATGGTAGTTACTTACCTCCGTCAATACTGTACACTCGTAGGACGGCTGAAACTTCTCCTGGGGAAACACACATTCACACATTATCATCAAGAACAGAAATGAAGAAACAGGAGCAACAAAATGCCAGTATCACATTCCCCATTTTAACTGTATATCAGTCCAACTAGCATGTGCTACTGATACAAAAAAATCCCTTTTGAATAACAATCATAACAAAATATGAAGAAATTCTTTTTCTCCCATCCTTCGCAGACGTATCTCCCGTTTTAGCTGAAGAAGATGAGCATGTCACCCCCTAGGCGAGATAACCTCCTGCAGAATGGCGCATTCTAAGTCATAAAATCCTGCAGAATGGCGCATTCTAAGCCTAAACGTCCTGCAGAATGGCGCATTCTAAGTCTTAACAATATACATGTACAGTGATTAATCTACAATTCATTTTTAAGAGTCCTTTTCAACTGTATTGCTAAAAACAATGAGTCCCACAATGTTAATTTAAGTATTTTCAGAAATTCTGTGAGTCCCATAACAATTCTATGAGTATAGGACTCGGGACTTTCACGTAGATTTATCACTGTATGTAGTATGACGTCACGTCAACAGCAGCAGACCATGGAAGACAACTCTGGATGCGCTGTAAACCAACGCTTATATTTCATGCAGTCACCGCTTGTCGGCGGATTTGTGAGTGACACAGGATAGGTTAAAAACAATCATTCCCTACCTTGAGGGTGGGACAGAGAAATCTCCAACCCGAGGGATGATATTCCTGATTGTCAATAATATCACCCCTCGGGTCGGAGATTTCTCTGTCTTACCATCAAGGTAGGGGAAGATTCTATTGGTCAATGTGAAGTGTTGAGATATTTTTTTAGGAACTGGAGAAGTAAACCTTTTCTCAGCTGTGAGGCAAAACAGATTATTTTTTAGAGATTTTGAATAGAAACTATTACTTCAACTGGCAACAAGACATAAATCATACTGTGTGTGGCCAGGTCCCAGTTGTAAGTTCTGGGAAGAATGACTTACTTTTTCTGTTTCTGACATTTTTTCCATTTTCTCTCTGTCCCGCTTGTGTTTTCTGTCTGCACCTTTAGGCTGGGTTAAAAGAAAACAGCAATATTTCATAAAAAAATAGAAATCTGTATTAAAACCCTTCGTCTTATGAATATGTTGTACAATGAATTGAAATTCTAAATGCGTCAAGTTTAATGATAAATTCAGTAAAATTTACAAATCTATTTTTTGTGAAAAGGTGTAAAAATATAGAAATCACTTTCTCTTCTTTTATTTGAAAACAGTCACTTTGAATCCAGAGACATGAAAAATTTGCTTTTAGTTTTCTGGTAAAATAAATAAAAAATGTGGGTACTGTTGTCTAGTACACATTTTTTTTGCAGGGGTGTTTTTGTCTAGTACACTAAATAATATATTGTACAGTAATTTACAATATTGGAAAAAATGCTTGCAATTGATTGGCAATTTTTTGGTATCTTCCTTGAACACTCTGATCTGACATGAGGCGCAGTGTAGGACCTTGTTGGGTATCTACCTTGAGCACATTGATCTGACATGAGGCGCAGTGTAAGTTTGTTGGGTATCTACCTTGAACACCTTGATCTGACATGAGGCGCGGTGGAAGTTTGTTAGGTATCTACCTTGAACACCTTGATCTGACATGAGGCGCAGTGTAAGTTTGTTGGGTATCTACCTTGAACACCTTGATCTGACATGAGTTGCAGTGTAAGACCTTGTCGGGTATCTACCTTGAACACCTTGACCTGACATGAGGTGCAGTGGAAGTTTGTTAGGTATCTACCTTGAACACCTTGATCTGACATGAGGCGCAGTTTAAGCCCTTGTTGGGTATCTACCTTGAACACCTTGATCTGACATGAGGCGCAGTGTAAAGTTGTTGGGTATCTACCTTGAACACTTTGATCTGACATGAGGCACAGTGTAAGTTTGTTGGGTACCTACCTTGAACACCTTGATCTAACATGAGGCGCAGTGTAGGACCTTGTTATGTATCTACTTTGAACACTTTGATCTGACATGAGGCACAGTGTAAGTTTGTTGGGTATCTACCTTGAACACCTTGATCTGACATGAGGCGCAGTTTAAGCCCTTGTTGGTATCTAACTTGAACACCTTGACCTGACATGAGGCGCAGTGCAAGTTTGTTGGGTATCTACCTTGAACACCTTGATCTGGCATGAGGTGCAGTGTAAGACCTTGTCGGGTATCTACCTTGAACACCTTGACCTAACATGAGGCGCAGTGGAAGTTTGTTAGGTATCTACCTTGAACACCTTGATCTGACATGAGGCGCAGTTTAAGCCCTTGTTGGGTATCTAACTTGAACACCTTGACCTGACATGAGGCGCAGTGCAAGTTTGTTGGGTATCTACCTTGAACACCTTGATCTGACATGAGGCGCAGTTTAAGCCCTTGTTGGGTATCTAACTTGAACACCTTGACCTGACATGAGGCGCAGTGCAAGTTCGTTGGGTATCTACCTTGAACACCTTGACCTAACATGAGGCGCAGTGGAAGTTTGTTAGGAATCTACCTTGAACACCTTGATCTGACATGAGGTGCAGTGTAAGACCTTGTTGGGTATCTACCTTGAACACATTGATCTGACATGAGGCGCAGTGTAACAGTTTGTTGGGTATCTACCTTGAACACCTTGACCTGACATGAGGCGCAGTTTAAGCCCTTGTTGGGTATCTACCTTGAACACCTTGATCTTACATGAGGCGCAGTGTAACAGTTTGTTGGGTATCTACCTTGAACACCTTGATCTGACATGAGGCACAGTGTAACATTTTGTCGGGTATCTACCTTGAACACCTTGATCTGACATGAGGCGCAGTGTAAGACCTTGTTGGGTATCTACCTTGAACACCCTGATCTGACATGAGGTGAGTGTAAGTTTGTTGGGTATCTACCTTGAACACCTTGATCTGACATGAGGCGCAGTGTAAAAACTTGTTGGATTTCTACCTTGAACACCATGATCTGCCATAAGGTGAGTGTAAGTTTGTTTGGTATCTTCCTTGAACACCTTGATCTGACATTAGGCGCAGTGTAAGACCGTGTTGGGTATCTACCTTGCACACCTTGATCTGACATGATGCGCAGTGTAACCGTTTGTTGGCGTCCCCCTTGGCGTATGTCCCCACCTGGACTCGGAATGGCACGCCTTTCTCCCCGCCGTGTTTCTTAGCTGTGAACTCTGTACTTATACAGTTGACCCGGATGTAGACCCCTGCCTCCTTCGTGGGGTCCCACACAACCTCCGCTCCATTCAAGCGGACAGTATTCTGAGTGTCCATGAGACCCCCAGCGGACGGTCCTGTGTCCATACCATCCAGGTTTACTTCCATTAGACCATAGGACAAGGGTATATCTGTACAAAACAATGATAGAACGTAGGACAAGGGTATATCTGTACAAAATAATGATAGAACGTAGGACAATGGTATATCTATACAAAACAATGATAGAACTTAAAAGACAAGGGTATATCTGTACAAAATAATGATAGAACGTAGGACAATGGTAAATCTGTACAAAACAATGATAGAATGTAGGACAAGGGTATATCGATACAAAACAATGATAGAACGTAGGAGAAGGGTATATCTGTACAAAATAATGATAGAACGTAGGACAATGGTGTATCTGTACAAAACAATGATAAAACGAAGGACAAGGGTATATCTTTACAAAACAATGATAGAACTTAGGACAAGGGTATATCTGTATAAAACAATGATAGAACGTAGGACAAGGGTATATCTGTACAAAACAATGATAGAACGTAAAAGACAAGGGTATATCTGTACAAAACAATGATAGAACGTAGGACAAGGGTATATCTGTACAAAACAATGATAGACCATAGGACAAGGGTATATCTATACAAAAGAATGATAATGTACTCTTTGTCTGTAGATAGTATTTCGTATTTTTATATATGGGTCAGATGACAAGTGAGAAAAAAACGCTGATCAGAGTTAAGAGTTTTAACAAAATCAAATGATCTCTGTTCACTACTGAAGTAACTTGGTTGGAGACATTTTGGGAAAATGAGAATGACCAACACATAAAGGTATACATTGTACTCAATACGAGAGAATGACAGCGAACAGATAAATAGGAGTGATAGCTAGCAAATACAACACTTTCATAAAATTATGTTAAATATTTGAATTTGTATGAAACCCACTGTATTCCTGTGACAAGTGATTTGTAATTTGTTCCTCTGAAAGACAAATTGTTCAATCAAGGAACCATCTGAGAAATTAATCATAACATGAGGAAGCAACCAACTCCACTGACTTGTTTCCCAACCTAAGAGATATAATGATAACATAGCACTTCTAGCTTTACCTATATCCATGATTCGTTCTCCAGGCCGAAGCTGTTTCCACGACTCCAACTGTTCCTTCTCCATGTACTGCAGTCGCCTCTCATGAAAGCAAACTTTAACAACGCTCTACAAATACAATACATTTCTAGTTCAACCACTAGCTAAGATACAATCAGGGCTAGAAATTGATTATGAAGTCCAATGGTCAATTTTGGGCAGTTGTTTCCAATATTTGCTAGTCCACGTGAAAAAGTCCACTAGCCCAATATTCAACAGAAAAGCAATATTAAATTTAGACTTTTCAAGATTTTACAAGTCTAGCCCTGTGCAACACATAAACAATATGAAAACGCTCTAAAAATATAGATAGAACTATCTATAGCAACATTCTGACAGACAGTTGATATAATTATAAAGGTGAAATATATAGACAAGTGGTTATCATTCATATAATAGTTATGGTCACATAGACAAGTGCTAGCTTTAGACACCAAGTAGTCAAAGACAGGTAGACTAGGGAGGAATTCACTGCACAATAGATAATATTACAGAAAATATCAGTCCTAACCTTTACAGACACGTATGATTGAGACACATAACACTGTTGATCCCAGAGATCACTACATACCCAGAGACAATTTCCCCAGAGATCACTACTTATCCAGAGACATTTTCCCCAGAGATCACTACTTACCTGGAGACATTTGCCCCAGAGATCACCACTTACCTGGAGACATTTTCCCCAGAGATCACGACTTACTCTGAGACATTTTCCCCAGAGATCACTACTTACCTGGAGACATTTGCCCCAGAGATCACCACTTACCTGGAGACATTTTCCCCAGAGATCACTACTTACTTGGAGACATTTGCCCCAGAGATCACTACTTACCCAGAGACATTTCCCCCAGAGATCACTACTTACTCTGAGACATTTTCCCCAGAGATTACTACTTACCTGGAGACATTTCCCCCAGAGATCACCACTTACCCGGAGATATTTTCCCCAGAGATCACTACTTACCCTGAGACATTCTCCCCAGAGATTATTTAACCAGGAGACATTTTTCCCAGAGATCACTACTTACCTGGAGACATTTGCCCCAGAGATTATTTAACCAGGAGACATTTTCCCCAGAGATTACTGCTTACCCGGAGACATTTCCCCCAGAGATCACTACTTACCCGGAGACAATTTCCCCAGAGATCACTACTTACCCGGAGACATTTTCTCCAGAGATCACTACTTACTCTGAGACATTTTCCCAAGAGATCACTACTTACCTGGAGACATTTTCCCCAGAGATCACTACTTACCCGGAGACATTTTCCCTGCATGTCTGACAAGTCACCAAGCTTCTTCAGCTTGATCTCATATGATTGACCTGTGTGTAAAAGCAATGGATAAGGTTTTGTTTGTTTGGGGATTAACGTCTTTACAACAGACAGGGTCATATGAGGATGGAATAAATAAGTAAACAAATCAATAAAGTTACAAACATGAAACTTCATTACATATGCTACTTCACAAAATTATACCTTTGATTTGTATTGAAATGATAATTCTCAAATTAAATTTTACAGTTTTCTCTTCGAGTTGGAATCTTTTATAAGAAAATACATATCACATTACTCATTAGGCTAGCATGTAGAATTTTTATTTTTGAAGAATAGCTTTTTATTTTATTCAAGTGATGGCGTGGTAAGTCCTGCTGAGAACAATGAATCTTAATAGATGGCAAAAACAGGGAAATGCTGGTTTTGAAAATACAGAAGAACTCACCCTGATTTAGATAAGTAAGTGTCTCTTCGTTTATTTTAACAGCTGGAGAGGTTGCTGCTCCTAGTATGTACTGGAACCTGGAAATACAGAAATAACTCTAATATACCACCATATATACAGATAATATGGGTACCTCAAACTTAAATCCTTAGAATCACTGTATGATTACTACGACTGTGATCACACATTTAAAATGCTATAATGTATGAACAGAAACAGAATTTATTTCCACACTTGATACCACAAAAGTATAATAGGAGCGGAAAAATGCACGGCCAGACCGGGGTTCCAACCCGGGACCCTGCGAACTCTAGACGGACGCTCTACCAATTGAGCTACCTGGTTGCCGACGATCGAGCTAGTCCAGTTCCGCTCTGATTGTGATTTATATTCGTCAGAAACATATATTTACCCATTATCTAAATTCTCCTGCTTGAAAACAGGTAGAGCCAGCAGTGCCTCACTGTAAAGACAAGAGGAAGAGGAAATTAAATCCATAGTTTAGTAATAGTTGTGTACATTATCAAGGTTTTTGTGAGCTAAAAATTAATAGTGAAGACAACGTCTGTCATTTTAGTGAATAGTTTTGATGTTGATATTGAACCAGATCAGAGGACTGTTTAAACATAATACAAATGCTTTATAATAATTATGGAGGAAGGTCAGCATTTGAAATTCACAGGACATGTGATATTTAAATATATTTTTGTGATTTTGGTGCAAGCAAGTATACTTGAATCTTTGTTACCGCTAATTTGAATGTAAATTTCAGGCTGTAAATTTTATGAATGAAATGTGCAAAGAGAAATAAGATTCAAATGAAAAAGGTCCTCTCAATAGTTTTTTGTCGGCCAATACTAGTAGTCAATACATGAACAAGGTATATGTGGAATGTCATCCTCGATATCCAGGGGTTACGCTCACGTTTGCTCTCTACACACCTGGAATATGTCATGGCAAAATTGAAGGCACAGTGTGCGCCACCTTGTTGATGAGACAAGAAGACTAGTTTGATCCTTTGATTTACATCAGAAGAATCTCACGGTCACGTAACGGTAAAAAATGACAGGCTTTGAAGTCGGGCGTCTCTCCTTTGTAATCTTCAAAGGACAGATATCAGCCTAGCGATTGGTGTGGTTTTTTTTACCTGAAACCAATCAAACAGCTATCTTCTTGCCTTCAATTTTGCCATGACATATTCCAGGGGTGTAGAGAGCAAAAGTAAGCGTAACCCCTGGATATCGAGGATGGTGGAATGTATACCTCATATTATAGGTTGCAGTACCCAGCTCTGTGCCCAGCCCCGACAGGGAGCCATCAAAGTCTGCCGCCAGACTATCATTGATGTCCCAGCTGGTGATGTGGTGGGACATCTTGGTACGTTTGCCGCCCTGTGTACCAGGGCTGTCTCGCTCTATTGTGGACCAGCTGAAAGACATTTGGTCAATGTTGGCCAGGAAACAGCTGCTGAAATTTGTAGGAAGAGTATAGAAACATTTTACACTCGTAACAAATAGGGCAACCCTAAATCTGTTTCCAGAAGGATGATTCTCTGGCTGTAGCCTAATCACACCCCAACATTATGGAAACATTAATTAAATTGGCACTATTTCTTTTTAGTATTGTCAAAATAATCTAAATGTGCATACACAATACTAATGAAACATGGAATACACTGTCCAATCAGCTTTAACCCATTCACCCCTAAAGTCACATTTGAACCTTACTAAATCAAAGAATGGGCAAGTCCAGTTTAAATATGTAGGGGTGAATGAGTTAAACAATCTTGAACATGTTTAGGTTTTCATCGACAAGTTATTTGGTTCAGCAATTTTGATGAAGAATTTGAAAATTTATATCACGAACCTTATTCGAAATACATGGACCAAAGCTGCGACAATTCCCTAACTGAACAGAGCTAAACTTTCATGCTGCCACACTACCAAACTTGTTTGCCAAAATATTGAAAAAAAAATGTAGGGATGAAAATAAATGTTATCTTTAACTCCTCATGTACTTAAAATATTGGAGGCATGTGTTTCTTGTGTCTTACCTTTTTTAGGAAACCACTCTCCTTCTCCTAGTAACTATTTGTACCTGTGCATGAAAATGAAAATAAAACATGAGAAAATCAGTATTTACAAATCTATATTTCTTGGATTTGAGTTAACAGGACAGTTTCGAATACTTTAAAGAAGTATAGAAATTGATTCTTAGATACATAAGAAAAATCTTTTATGAGGTTTGTTATGCATATAATATTGTTCATGATTTGCTTCTCACACCAATGGCAGAGAACATAATATCGTGCACCGAATAATGAGCAAACACATTTACGTGACAACTCTGCCTATTTTTGGAGGGAAACTCCCTAAAGTTGAGCATTTTCAACCAGTGAATTTGCTAAACTATCTGTATTTTCCCCAAGATCTGATGATTTCATCTGCAAGAACAACTCAACAGATGCCATTAAAAAGTGACAATTATCTCCTAGGGTGTATACAGACACATTGGATTTATGTTTGGATTTTATTTAGAGCACATGTAAACTCCCCCATTGAATATTTTTGTAAAGTTGGCAAGTATATATACATACTTTTACCATACTGTGAAACGGTGCTAAACTATTCTCATTCAATATTTTGATTTAAACATATTTTTATTTGCATCTAATATACAAAAGGGATTGGGCACAAGTTGTCCAACTTATGTAAAGCGCTTTCCCAATAACATAATGAAACATATATATATACAAGATGGCAATTTTTAAATTACCAATATTTTCAATTAAGTTTGGTGTTACTCAGAGAGAGAAAGAGAGAGAATTGAATATTTGCTTGGCAATAGCAATTCAGTTATGAGATAAAATAGACTTGTTCAGATTGAATTTACCAGTAATATTTTTTTTCCTTTTTGTTTTTCATTAAAAAGAGAATTGTCAGTAGTTCTCCACAAGAAAAAAAATGAGTTTATGCAAATATTGAATAAAGAATTGAAGATGTACCTGTTCACCTACTCATCCATGTAAAACAGAGCAATGAAAATAACACATCAAAGCATCACTTACCTTATCTAATTCATCTTCCATTGCAATATGTATCTCTTTAAAAAAAATCTGAAAGTGTGAAAAATTGACATTATTAAAAATTGGATCCCTACATATAACTTTGGCATAAGTACCCTTAGCCTTTTTATAAATTTCTTTCTGATTTCACGGAGTTCTATATGCATGTATATAGATTATATATAAAATATTGATCCCTAGACATTTCATGACTTGCTTATAGCTCAATCAAACTCGTTTTGTAGCATTAAACCAAATTAAGATTTTCTACTGTATATACAGGCCTTAGAAAGTTATTTTACTAATTTGTCTATATTCAAACAAAAAGGAAATTAACATTGCTAGTTTTTTAAATAGCAGTTTGATTTGAACACTGTGAAATTATTTATTCCATTGATTAATGTTGCAGAAAAGTATAAACACAGCAAATGTTCAGTGGTTAAGTCCCATGCTTTATAATCAAAAGGCTCTGGGAACAAATCTATATATGGTATTAAAATTAACATTTCTGCAATGTTGATCAAAAGCGAAATTCATCAGACAGTTTTCCATCAAACTAGAATTATAACAACACTTTGTATCATTCAACAATTTAGAAAACAATACTGTCTGTAACTGAAAATATTGTGAAATAGCTAGGTATGTCATGTGTATAAAGCAGAAAAATTCTCCCAGTGAAAGTTTCGCCCTATGCTTATAAAATCTGTTAATTTTGCCCTTCACATTTGATACCAATGTTCATTGTCAAATGCGGATTTGTATGCTTTTTTTTTTTTTTACTATATCTATAACTATCACTGTAGGAGTACTATTAGGCCAGACAAAAACATATATGTGTTTCCTGTAACATGTCGGAAGAAGTTCGGTAGGTAGGTAGGTAACAAGTTTTAGTTAAAAAAATAATTTTATGTGATTTATATCAGGAGAGTGCATGGTCTTTACTTAACACTGAAAAACAATGAAATTTACTTTTTTGGTTGGAATTTTTTGCTGATTTTCAAGATTTATCCCGAAAATTGTTCTCAACAGAAAAAAACATCAGGATTTATCCCAAAACTTATATTGCTTAAATATAACGAAGTGTTCCAGCAAAGTTTTTTGGATTGATCACAAAATTATATAAATTTACTAAAATCAGAGTGATTTATATAAGAAGACCAGGGGCTAGTTTTGTTATTTCTTACAATCGAAGACAAATTAGGAGTAGGAATTTACATGTTATTGATAACTTCCCCCTTCCATCCCAAAGAACTGCATGTTACTATTTTATTTCCTTATTGTTGTAAAAACTAAAATGTCAAATTCTGTTTTTAAATTACTTAAAGTAGAACAGGCCGTCCTCCATGCTTTCTGCTTGTAGGTTAACATCTACTATCTGAACACTTGTTTTTTTAAGAATGCACAAAACACTGTCCTTATGGAACTTTAACACTGCAGGTAGGTAACTTTGCAGCATTTTCTTTTAAATCTGTGTAAAAATCTCAATTATTTGAGAAAAACTAAACTTGTTCCATATATTAATTTTCTATGCTAAAATAACAAAGTGAACAAATTTGCATTTGTTTAAGAAATAGAGATAACTGTATATTAGTCGTTTAACAAGTGTTATATTTTGTGACTGATAATAAAAAATCAGATCAGACTATGCCATTTACTGAAAATAGGTTATCTCCCCTTGGAAGCAAATCTGGGGGAAAACAACAACCTCTGCAATGGAAACATATTGTTAAATGGCAATGTTTGTAAAGCAGAATTAATGGAATAAATACACAAGATTCAAACACATGTAATCAAAGCATGTCAGGCCTCGGTTCAGGGGAAATGATCAGTCAGCATGCGACGTGAGGCGAGGCCATGCCCATGGTTCGTGCTCTCGCTCTCTCAGGCTTGCTTATCAGAGCAAGGCAATGTATACATTGATCGCGTTGGCATGAATAACTTCCTACATACACATACTCATGACATGCTTATTTGATATTCGGTACATAGTTTACAACTTGTTGAATTGAAGGATTTGGCAAATTCATAAACAAATACGTACCAAAAATATGAAAGCTGTTTTGCTACCGGAAACCAGTTCACTTATTTTACGACATCTAATTTTCAGCCATAAGATCATATGTTGGCCTTCCTAAACATAGTGGGAAAAGGTCCAAGCCAATTTAACTGATTAATTTAATTTGGGATTTTTGTATGATATTTGTAATTTATTGTTTTTGCTATGTTATATTTTTCAGTTGATCTGCGTCCTTGACCTCTGACCATCGTGAAGTGGAACGGAAGTACATTGTGCGACATAACGATAAGAACCAAATTTGTATATGTATCCGTATTACTAACTTGCCTCTTTCATACAATTTCATGCTGAGGCTTCACTATAAAGGTAAGGCACGGACTTAGATATAATTCCGTGTTCTAATGTTTTCCCTTCGACTACACAAAAGAACTTTGAGTATAAATACTTAAAAATACAAATCCATATATAGGGAGATATATATGGTTCTTAACTTAAAAACAATGAAAAAAATAGTCCAGTATATATATGATTGAGAGATAGTATATCAATTCTATCTTCTTATTATATGATGTATATGTACATGTAACTGTTCTGTTTCACGGTGTCTTGAAGAAGGAGCGGATCGCTCCGAAAATTTGACAACCTAAACTTGTCCACACTGTTGGAATTACTTCTTTGCCCCATATAATATTTTAAGTAATTCGTATCCTACGGACATACCTCCATTAGGATCCAGTGTTATATGGGATTTTACCGTCTATATTACTTCTTTGACCCATATGATTGAGAGAAACATGTACATGTTTTGTTCCCAACAAAGACATGTCTCTTAAGTTACCTTTGAAATTAAGAAGTTTTTGTTTACAAACAATGTAAATTTATAGTTCAATCCTTAAGCCCCTCATCTCGACTCACAGAGAACTTATCCGCTGTGGCGTACCGATTAAGATTGCTTCCTTTATCTGCCGCTTGAACACATCTATAATAAACCTCGCGGAAGATATTGACTCCACATTCAAAGATTCGCGAAGTTTTCACAACAAATCCTTGCTATTTACTTATTTCTTCCGTCACGTCGATTAATATTCTGTATATCATTGTAAAAAAAAACACCACACTCGGTTATTTTCTATTGACTACAATATTGACTACCCTTAAATGTGCGCTTTTGATATTTTTCGTCTTTGAATTCATATGAGATTGACAAACTTCAGGCGCGGATTTAGGGGGGGGGGGGGGGGGAACCCCCGGCCCCCTCTTTTGGCGGCGGACTGACCTTTCCCGGGCCGGCCCGAAATGGTCTGATCGGCCGGGAATGGGAACATATTAACATTTTAAAATGCATCAAATAATGCACGGAGCTTGAATAAAAAAAATCTGGGGCTATGCCCCACACATCCCATACGGCATCCTAGCCAATATTGTGGGTTTCCGTTATCTGATGTTATCACTATATTTTCTTTATTAAAACAATATTTGTTGGCATCGCTACGCTCGTCTACTGTGTATCTTGACCCTAAAGTGTTTTATATTTATTTTACCACCTCCGCAAAACCCGAAGTTGCAACTTGCAACGCTCGGCGGAAATATACTAGCATAAGTTGCATAATTATATTATTGACCGCTCGTTATAGATGATCTGAAAATTAATACTTTTTATTGTAATCTTCCTAACCGCCCGGGCGATATTAATCATATCATTATACAAGAACGATAAAGGTTTTTTTCGGCTGACAATATTATGTATAATCGACTAAACATATCCATTCAATTATTTTGGTATTATATATATTGTTGGAACTGTTTAACTATCTTGTATGTACAACATAATATCTCATTGTGGTACTTATAGCTTACCATCGTGTACGTACAAGAAAGTATCTTCACACAGCATACTATTGTATACGTAGTAATAAGTTGTACGTACCAGAATGAGATGATATGCTGTACTTACAAGTAAGATAATTTTAAATTAAATTTAAAGGTAACGCGTATGTGCCTCCTAAGTTGTACCATTTCAACCAGATAGCTTAGCAAATGTACCACTGTTGGTAATATGCGCGCCCTTACATGAGTTAATCAGCGTGGACATTTCAGATATATCATTGTCTACACTAGTGAATTAGTCAACAATTATAAAACGCGAGACTGTATAGCTAGTGGCCTTGAGTGTCGCACTGATTTGAACTTATCCGTTTGTTTAGCAACTTAGTGATGCCATGAGTAACTCATTAATTAAACAGCAACGATGTTATGGTGTTATTTGTTCTTTTGTACGACAAACTATTACATGAAGTACTGTACTGTAGGTACAATGTCTGAAGACTAGATATTGTGCGTCCCTACATTTATTTTTTGACGGTGGACCTCTCGTATCCCCCTTGCGGGCGGGACGCCAAATTAGGTAATAATGAACAAGCCCCCTGTGGATTCATACATTTGTCATCATCAAGGTTGCCCCTATAATAATACCATCTGACTTCTAAAACACGCTGTTAATAGAGAATTTGACCCGAAACTTTAATTTTCTTTCCAGTACACAAAAAAAGTCTTTGGGCCATACTTAAAATATGTTTTTTTCTTCTTGTTAATTAAACATAAAAACAATCCTCAGAACACGGGAAATCGCTTCTGAGACGTTCTAGAAAACACAATTTTGAGAAAAGTGGGCCAAAATCACCACTTTCCCTACTACTACCAAGTTTTAGACCATAAATTTAAAGACTCACGATCCCTATTCGATACTGTTTGAATTTCATGACAATACGAAGACTATAATAAAGAGGTATCATCTGCAAAAAGACAGGCAGCTGATTCAAAGACGTCAGCAATATCATTAATGTTATTGAAAACAAAAGCGGTCCAAGAATTGAACATTGAGGAACCCCTGCTTCGTTCAAATAAATAGTTTTCTAACCAGGTATATAATTCACCAACAATTCCGAAAGATTTTAACTTAACCATCAAACCCTTATGCCAAACCCGATCAAAAGCCTTGGAAATATCACTAAATACCATGCATACATGTTTTGTTTCTTCAAGAGTAATACAAATGTTGTGGTAAATTTCAATGGGCTGATATACAGTAGAATGAGCATGCATAAAACCAGACTGGTACTTATAAAACAATGAGTTTTTCTAAGAAATAAGTATGTAGGTGTTTGAAGATGACTCTCTCAAAAACTTTTCCAACGGTAGATAAAAGTGAAATTTGCCTATAGTTAAAAGGAGAATTCCGGTTGACATCACCCTTTTAAACAGTGGCATGACTATGGCTATTTTCCAAGCGGTTGGGAAAATACCTGCCGATAAACTAAAGACATTAAAAATAATTTCAAGTGGAATACTAACAGACTGAGCATCACAGGACGAATGCTCTTCAATTATACCTTGGACATTTTTATTAAATATAAAACGGGCACGCTTTTTCATGTTGTTAACCTTATTACGTTGAGACTTAAATTTATTAACCCTTTCACCCCTATTTAACTTAAGTAGACTCTACTATGCATTGATCTGGATGAGTCCATTTTGGTCTACAGTGGTGAAAGGGTTAACATCCGAAAGAATCATTTATATATATATATATGTGTACAATTTTCGCTACATGGTTCTTGTTACGCCAATTCAATTGTATATTGGTTTTATTGGCTGCTGGTTATAGTTAAACGGATAGTTTACAGGTCAGAAATAATTTCGGAAGGATACCTTTCCCGTCAGTGACTAGTCCGAATTATTCTGACGTTTTAACGACTTTTTTCATATCGGTCTGTCGTCGATTAATCGACGACAGAACAATATGAAAAAAGTCGATAAAACGTCAGAATAATTCGGACTATTGGCCGGGTTACCACATCCTCGATATCCCGGGGTTACGCTAACTTTCGCTCTTTACACCCCTGGAATATGTCATAGCAAAATTGAAGGCACGAAGATAGATGTTTGATTGGTCTCAGGTAAAAAAAACACCACCTAACCAATCGCTAGGCTGATACCTTTCCTTTGAAGATTACAAAGAAAAGACGCCCAACTTCAAAGCCTGTCAATCTTTCCTTTACGTGACCGCGATATTCTTTTGATGTACATCAAAGGATCGAACTAGTCTTCTTGTCTCATCAACAAGGTGGCACACACAGAGCCTGCAATTTTGCTATGACATATTCCAGGGGTGTAGAGAGCGAAAGTGAGCGTAACCCCAGGATATCGAGGATGGGGTTTCCGTATCTTTCAGATAGTCAATAAGTTGGACCCCAAATCGACCCTAAGTTTCTTCGATATTATGCGTCAAAGTTCTTGCATCCGAATATGTACACGCTTTTTACTACGTTTTCTTAATGTCGTCCTATATTTTGGATTAACAAGGATATTGCGAAACATCTTGTGGAGCTTCATGACTGTTGTTCAAAGAGGGAAAGTAGAAGTTCAGACGGAAGCAGTCGGAATCCTAGATAAACAAATCGGCAAACGCAGACGTCAACGACACATATTTTATATTGCCAAATCGTACATATTTCACACCTCTGTATACATAAGCTTGACTGATGAAGGTGACAGAGTAAATATCGTATCAGTCATCAAAACACCACACACAAAGATGTCCCCATCTAGACCAAGGTTATTTGACTGTACTGCGGAGTATTTTGAGCAAGCATTTTAACCTCGGCCTATGACACAGAATATTTAGCTGCCCTTCCCTGAGTCATGATATGGATTTTACGATTGAGATACAATTATAAACACCAGTATATTACAAAATGTTTGTATCCACTATAACATAAAGAGTTTTTTCTCCTGTTGATTTCTTGTTGTTACATTTTATTTATTTTTATATTTCTATATTTTTTATTTATTATTTATTTTTATATTTTTAATTATATCAAGTTATTTATTTTATTCATTTTCATTTATTTATTTTCTACTTTTTTTGTGTGTAAGTCTGTGGTGAAAGTTATCTGTGAAATAGTGCGGATATTACGATTTAAAAAAAAAATGTTGTTAAAAAATATAGTACTATGCATATGACCAGCTGGTACTACAGATGACGGATGACGTCATACAAAAACCAAAACATTGGCTCGCGAATCATTTCACTTGTAACAATGGTTTTCATTGGATGATAGCAGGATGTCAACAAATAGATTGAGGAAATTGCATTTCCGTTTATTTGTCCGGTTTATTCAATCATCGATTGCAAATTGTTACATTTGTGCAAATTGTTGTAAAATGAAGTAAATGCACCACTTTGCTCTCATAAAATATCGGAAACGATACCGCTAATTTAGCATACCTGTCCAGGGCAAGAAATTACGTCACAGCAATTGACCAATCAGATGATGTTTTGCTCAGTGAGTAGGGATGGCCATTCGTGTTATTATTTTTCTTTTGTTCAATGAATTGATTCAAGTGAAAAATTGACGACATTTGACTTCTAGATGCATTATCAACATGAATCATTACAACAATTCCAATCACCACAATCATAGCAGGACTGAGGTAAGATAGCGGCTACGGAATCCGTCGCAATGTCGGCAAACAGGCGAGAAACCCGTGTTGTTTTTATCGAATATTTTCTTCCTCTCGCCTGTCATCTCTCAGCTGATCGGCCGAGGCATTTTGACAGGAATATGCCTGGTACCAAACCAGCTCACGTCTTTGTGTCAATGTTGGCACAGTAAAACAAACAATTACCGATTCGCAAGTGCGATCTTGTTGTTTTTCACGATGTTTCCAAATAAAGCCTACGATTGGACATTTTCGTATAGGCCTATAGGTTTCTGTATATATTGTGTATTGGGCACATGGCATGGAGACAAAGGAGAAAAACTATTATAATTTATTAAAGTTGAGAATTTGTAGATATCGAGATTTTGTAATATCAACTATTGTAAGTTGAAGTCTAGGCATCATAGAGGATGATAAATATGATAAATTATTACTATTTAAAGTTGTAATTACCATGCAATGATCATACCTGTTAATAATTACCCTAGAGGAAAAGTGTCACAGGCAGATTATCTAGTAATTGTTTGATGGCAGGATTAGAAATTATGATCATTATCATGATCATTATAAGAGTATGAAGTCAGACATTGAATATCTATTGTCATCAAGTGCACACATTGTAGTGATAATTATTATAATATATACAACATTTTATTTAGCGCCCTCACTCTTAGCTAGAATTAAGCCACTCTAAAGCACTTTACAGTACATAGATATTATACAATTGGCATATAAATACAAATTATAGGAATTTGCAGGAGCGGCCGTATCAGGCGCTAACTATTAGTCCTATGCCACCTGGCTAATATCTCCCAATGTGTGTATGCCTGTTGGAGATATATTGTGTTCTGTTTTGTAGTGGGAGTAGGCTGTGCTTCCAACAGTATCATTTATAGTGCCATGTCACGTGAATGCCACAGCACAGATACCGCAACATCCATTATAGTAATTAGTCATTTGAGATGAAAAATCAGAAGTTTTCCATTAAATTATTATTTCAACTTACCTGTTAGCTCACTTACCTGTTAGCCCAAATACCCCTTTATTTAGTTTTTCAATAGATTTTATTTAAAAACAAAGTGGGTTTTTTCAAGAATCAGGCTTTTATGTTTAATTTCACACAGATATATACCAATCGATCTTGTGGACTCAACACTACTTAATTAATTTGGGGCAACAAAGATTCATGTCAATCAATGCAAGTCTTGTGAAGATTAAGTCACTAAAGTAATTGTTTCATATAAATCATTCACAAAAATAGCAGACATTATATTTAATTTCATTTCCCCTTTTGGAGGCACAATAGTACAGTGGTAGGATGCCGGGCTCGTGACCGAAGGGTTGCAGGTTCGAGTCACATCACTGCACTGTGTTTTGTATCTTTGAGCAAGAAACTTTACTCCGCTTGTTCTAGTCTACTCAGCTGTAAATGAGTACATGGTTAGGCGGTGCTAGAATTGTTGAATGCTAGCTGTGAGCGCCGAAATGACAACACCTGCTGTATGCTCCCCAACTTGGAGTTGAGAAAGCTTAATAAAGATGTAAGCTGATTTGCAAAGGCCCTATAACCACCAATGATAATTTGTGAACCGCTTTGAGATGGCCTGAAGTGGTATATAAGAACCTAAAATTATTATTATTATTATATAGCTATAGAGACTGCTACATGTACAATTTGTGAATGATCCAACAAACATTACCGAGGAAGCAATTCTTATTCTGCTGGATGTTTTTATTTATGAACCAAATTACTGATTAAATTACAAAATGAAAAATACAAAAAAAACAAGTTGATTATTCATATGTCTTCAGATTGTAAAAAAATAAATAAAAAATGAATACCTTAGTTAGACAACACAAAAGTTATTTAGAAAGTCTTCCCAAAATTTTGAAAGAGAATACTTTTATTCTTTATAATAGGAAACACATAGGGAGATAATAGCCAGGTGGCATATGACTATTCACCATTAGTATAAGCATGCAGATTCTTCATCTTCATCAGATAGATATTTAGCTCACCTGCCCGAAGGGCTAGTGAGCTAATGCCATGGCGCGTCGTCCGTCGTCTGTCCTGGGATGGAGCCCAACAAAGTTTGAGAATGAAAATGACCTTGACCGTCTTTCAAGGTCACAGGGGTCAAATATGTCACACGCTTCAAACGACTTCTTCAGAAGAACTAAAAGGTATAGAATCTTTATATTTGGCTGGTGACTTCATGGGATAGAGACCAACAAAGTTTGAGAATGAAAATGACCTTGACCGTCTTTCAAGGTCACAGGGGTCAAATATGTCACACGCTTCAAACGACTTCTTCAGAAGAACTAAAAGGTATAGAATCTTTATATTTGGCTGGTGACTTCATGGGATAGAGACCAACAAAGTTTGAGAATGAAAATGATCTTGACCTGCTTTCAAGGTCACAGCTGTCAACTATGTCGAACACTTCAAACGACTTCTTCTTAGGAGGTAAAAGGTATAGAATCTTCATATTGGGATGATGGCTTCCTGGGATAGAGTCCAACACAGTTTGAGAATGAAAATGACCTTGACCGTCTTTCAAGGTCACAGCTGTCAATTATGTCAAACATTTTAAACGACTTCTTCTGAAGAACAAAAAGGTATAGAACCTTCATATTTGGCTGTTGGCTTCCTGGGATGGAGCCCAACAAAGTTTGAAAATGAAAATGACCTTGACTTACTTTCAAGGTCACAGCGGTCAAATATGTCGAACACTTCAAACGACTTCTTCTGTAGAACTAAAAGGTATAGAATCTTCATATTGGGATGATGGCTTCCTGGGATAGAGTCCAACACAGTTTGAGAATGAAAATGACCTTGACCGTCTTTCAAGGTCACAGGGGTCAAATGTGTCAAACACGTTTCAAACGACTTCTTCTGAAGAACTAAAAGGTATAGAATATTCATATTTGGCTGTCGACTTCCTAGGATGGAGCCCAACAAAGTTTGAAAATAAAAATGACCTTGACGTACGTTCGACATTCAAGGTCACGGGCGTCATATGTTTAAATCTTCTAATAGGTTCTTTGTTATGAATCAAACACTGAAATTCTGCCTGTAGTTGTATTTTAGTCCACTTTTAAGATTACAAGTGTGAGATTAATACCAGGTGAGCGATTCAGACCCATTGGGCCTCTTGTATTAACTTACATGACTGTTATATCTATACATTTCTTGTTTTTTCAGTCCATACCAGTCACACCCATAAGTATCACAGACGACGATGCTACAATAAATAAAAAGCTGCCGAAAGAGTTATTATTAAGGTAACAAAATATATTGCATTAAATCTGATCATGTTTTTAATAATAAAGTGTATCACTATGTATATATATATGGGGCAAAGAAGTAATTCCAAGTATGTATATATATATAAACGAAAATGTTCAACATTTGCTTATAAAGCTAGAGTGATTTGGTACAGATTAGGTTGTGGCCAGTTGGTTAACGGGGAAGTCAATGAGGGATCACTAGGGGACAGCTGTCTTAAGGGGCTGGGAAGTCATTGAGGGACCACTAGGGGACAGATGTCTTAAGGGGCTGTGAAGTCATTGAGGGATCACTAGGGGACAGCTGTTTTAAGGGGCTGGGAAGTCATTGAGGGGTCACTAGGGGACAGCTGTCTTAAGGGGCTGGGAAGTCATTGAGGGATCACTAGGGGACAGCTGTCTTAAGGGGTTGGGAAGTCATTGAGGGACCACTAGGGGACTGCTGTCTTAAGGGGCTGGGAAGTCATTGAGGGATCATTAGGGGACAATTGTCTTAAGGGGCTGAGAAGTCATTGAGGGATATCTAGGGACAGCTGTCTTAAGGGGCTGGGAAGTCATTGAGGGATCATTAGGGGACAGCTATCTTTAGGGGCAGGGAAGTCATTGAGGGATCACTAGTGGACAGCTGTTTTAAGGGTCTGGGAAGTCATTAAGGGATCATTAGGGGACAGCTGTCTTAAGGGTCTGAAAGTCATTGAGGGATCACTAGGGGACAGCTGTCTTAATGGTCTGAGAAGTCATTGAGGGATCACTAGGGGACAGCTGTTTTAAGGGGCTGGGAAGTCATTGAGGGATCAATAGGGGACAGCTGTCTTAAGGGGCTGCGGAAGTCATTGAGGGATAAACAGGGGACAGCCAGGCAAAGTTGTTAGACTGTGGAGTGGCTATATAGCTATCAGCTCTTGCTTTACTTCCCTTGTTAGGCCCAGCCCTCTGCCTTACTTTGTCATGACCCTTGCTTTTTCTTACTATTGTAAAGTTAAAGTAAGTTTCCAATACAGGACCGGAGTAGATAAAGCTGAAAAACTAAATAATTGTATAACATAAACTTTAAGTTCATTGTTAATTACATTTGCTCTATAGTTATAATATTTACATTTGCATGGCATTGTCACTATATAGCCTCTTTGAAAGCTGTGTCATTGATGGGACTTTAATTACCATGCATCACGAGACACAATTCTTAGCGTATTAATACAACACTGACCGGAACTACAATATCCAATATAAATAAACATGACGGCTGCTGAAATATCGCTGGGCATTGTGAGATTTGACAATGTCATTGTAAATTTATGTGCAAAATAAAAAATAAAATAAAAAACACTTTTATTACAACGAAAACAAGACCAAGGTCTGCAATATCGTACAAAATGCACATCGGTTGAAATCACCAATGCCGGCAATGGAAACAATTTTAACGCTCATGCAATTTATCAGAAATATCGTGTGTTACACTGCACTGATCAACAGGGGTTCGTTACAAATGTCTGAAATACACATATTCTATAGACCTACTGACACATATGTTACAGACCTACTGATATGAGTCACAGCACACATAAACATTTCAGACATTTGTAACGAACCTGTGCTCCGTCGCAAGATCACTCACTTCAAACGCTATCAGTTTCACGCGTCTCGCATCTACAGTTCCTCAGTTTAATTCTGACGACAGGTCAAATAACGAGTTTGTTATAGAATCTACCGACTGTTGTCAGGTTCCCATACAATCAACAAATAAATTCACGCCTGGATTCTTCACAAAATGAGCAAAGAGAAAAGTTCGAATAAACTTCCAAAAATAACTCTCGTGGAGGGCAAGGTCGGATTTACGGTGTTCACTGTATTTGTCCATGCGCAAAATTTGTTCCGGGGGAAAATGGAAACAATTTAACGTCTAACTTTCAGCTCAGAGTTCTATTGATAAACTTAAATCACCCTATATACATATCATACGCAATTGTATTGATACTGAATTGTGGAATAAAATTGAAGTGTTTGTTAAAATTTCAAAGTACTACTTTGTTTGCCAATCAGCACGCAACAATACGCTGTTCAAACTATTGAACGAAATTGTGTGGACTGTCGATAAGGCGACATTTTTAATTTTAAATGTAAATTATAAGTTAAAAAAGAACATAAGAGGCAGAGAAAACGTAAATATAAGTATTGAACTGTTTTTGTATGGTATTTATGATCTATTTGAATGACACAGCTTTGCAAGTAAACAAATCATAATGCTAGCGCGCCTTATGTTGCTATGGAACCACGAATATAAATACAACGAATATTTTTATAACTCGACAGAATATACACAACAAAATCGTGAAAATTATATGAACTTTATTTCAATCAAAAATATGCACACAAAAGTATAACCATTTACATTGTACATTATTACATGATTATGATCTATGTTGTGAACAGACCACAACAGTATATATATTCGTTGTACGGGCTAACAATCAAAGTTTGTTCCCATTAAATAATTTGAAAGCTCCAAACCATGAACAAAAGTACACACGAACATTTAATGTTATACAGTATACTGCAGCTAACAGTACATGATCAGAAGAGGGAAATAGGGGGAGGGGGGGGGCAGAAGTTGGGGATTGAGTGTGTTGGGGGGCAGGAGCATTAGGGGGAAGGAGAGGGACAACATGATGAAGGGGAGGGGGCAACATGGAGATAGTGTAACATTGGGAAGGATAGTAGCTATATGGAGCAGCTTGAAGAATAGGGAGTAGGCCCTAGGGTGATGTGTAATGCCAGTGTTCTATATTTAGTACTAGTTAGGTACATGTATATTTTATTTCTTTTTAATCTGTGTTCAAAAGGACAAGATTCTTCAACGTACTGTTTGTTTTCTTTCAGGATATTTTCATTTCTAGACGTTGTCTCGCTATGTCGATGTGCCCAAGTAGCAAGGGTAAGTGTACATTTTAGGTCACCTGATATATGACTTTCACCGATATTCAAGGTCACAGGGTAAAATACGTTGAAAACATTTTTAACAACATCTTCTGAATTACCTAAAGGCCTAAATGATATTTAGTAAATAACATGCTTGGATAAAGTGCTATCAAGTTTGTCCAAATTAATGACCTTTGCCCATATTCAAGGCCACAGGAGTCAAATGTATTGAAAACCTTTTAAACTACTTCTTCTGAAAAACCTAGGACCATAGTTGATGATGTTTGGACAGTAGCATGTTGAAGGACCTTGGAAGTTGCTTCAAATAAATGACCTTGACCTGTATTCAGGGTCAAAGGGGTCAATTGTGTTAAAATTAGAAACAATTACTACAAAATAATAAATAGGCCTAAGAAGTAGGATGATGATACTAGGCCAATATCATGCTAAAATAAAGGGCTATATCTAGTGTGTTAAAATAAATGACCTTGACCGTATTTAAAACATTTCCCGGTAAATGACTTGTGAATAAAGAAAGCGGCCTGCCAAATGTCGTGCATGATATTTTGATATGTACAGTTGTTAATGGTCTAAAATGATATCTTGTGTTAGATATGAATAAATTGCCATTACTAACCAACTTTGAAGGTCAAATCGGTTAGATATGTTCAAATCTTCCAAAAAAGGTCAAATCGGTTAGATATGTTCAAATCTTCCAAAAAAGACTCAATGTATAAAGCTTTGTTTTAACAGCTTGAATATTATATATTCTTTTTGATAAACATGTATGGTAATGAACAGGTTTAAAAACTGAAAATAAATTTCCATGTGAGCTGTCAAGGCCCTAGGCCTGTGGTCTCTTGAAAACTATTTGTCAATTTCAGACTGACATGTAAGGGTGATAGCTACCAAAAAAGGATGGTAGAACATTTCTACGCTTGAAACACAGTGATGTTAGAAAAGTGTTACATACAGGTTTTTCTGTGTATGAACAAGAGTTCTGTCAAATCTCTTACTAGTTCAAAATTTTGAAATCTGAATTTTGTAGACAATGTGTAACATTAATTGTAACCGTCCATCATCGTAACAGTTACATTGTTTGTTTAGTTTACTGTAAAATAACCAATTTTTCAGTTTTCCTTGTTTGTGTCAATTACTGTAATTAGGTAAGGATACCCAAACCACTGCCAAAAACTGTAACTATGCATCAAAATCATTTCTGAGAAGGAATCTTCTTGTCATTGGCCTAAATACTAACAATAACGGTTTTAAATGGTTTTATAAATAGTTCTGGAACGTCCTGGCCCTAGATGGCAGTAACTGGCAAAGAGTGGACCTGTTTGAATTCCAGAGGGATATTGTGGTGAGTATCCTAAGTAATCTTACTATTAAAAAGAGTGACTTGGTAAAGGAGCACTTCCGTGTCGTCCGTGTTGTGTGGGAACCAAGTTGTCCACTAATGACCTTACCGGTTCCGTTACAATGTGTAACTCGTCAGAGGTGCAGAGTGAGGAATGCAATCCTTTAATTTATATAGGGTGTTAAGTTGAAGAGTGTAAGAGAAGCAAAGCCAGGTATATTGATACCCAGTGTTTGATTTTCATATTGCAGAGTTCTCTGCTCTTGTGAGCAGGTATTGATTGTTACGTCATTTGTTTGTGAGAGTAATGTCATAAAATTTTGAGAAAACAAAGTAATTTTCTCACACAAACCAATGACATAACAATCAATAGCTGCTCACAAGACAAGATAACTCTGCAATACGAAAAGACGGAATATGTACCCTTTTTATTGTAATCTGTATCCTCATTATGTTTGAAGGATTTGTAATCTGTATCTTCATTATGTTGAAGGATTTGTAATCTGTATCTTCATTATGTTGAAGGATTTGTAATCTGTTTCCTCATTATGTTTGAAGAATTTGTAATCTGTATCCTCATTATGTTTGAAGGATTTGTAATCTGTATCCTCACCAGGTTTGTAATGGATGTACATGTACTCCCACAATGTTTGTAGGGCTTGGTGGTTGAGAACATATCCAAGCGCTGTGGAGGATTCCTGAAGTCACTGAGTCTGCGCGGCTGTCAAAGCATCACGGACGCAGCTCTGAGGTAATTAGGTGTGTTAGGAGATTACTGTAAAATATGGATTACCAGAAAAAAATGGTTGTGTTTCCAATTGATGATAGAGTTAACGTAAGACTGACAATTTCATCTGACAGTTTTAGAAAAACATGAATAATTTTGGATGTATCCCACATTAATGAGTCTGAGAAGGTACAGTTGCTCACAAGTTTCTCTGCCAGAGATAAATGAATTTTATACTAGGCATATAATATGAAAAGGCAAAGCCTTAAAAGAGCGATATCAAAGCTTTTGTTGATCTCTGATATTTACTGATTTAGAATGAGATAATACTGCTTTCAGAATGAGGCAAAATAAAATGTATTTAAAGTCGGCTAGTCGAGGGACAACAATAAAACATAAACTCTGATGAGATTAAGACCGACATAACAATAGGGGAGATCGGGGCAAATTCAGTCCATTTTAAGCTCACCTGGCACGCCGTGGCGCGGCGTCTGTCGTCCGTCCGTCTGTCCTCGTCCGTCAACTTTTCCTTTAAACAACTTCTTCTGAAGAACGGACAGGCCTAGAGTCATGATATTTGGCTGAAAGCTTCATTGGTAGGAGCCCTACAAAGTTTGAGAACGAAAATGACCTTGACCTGTTTTCAAGGTCACAGGGGTCAAATATGTCAAAAACTTCAAACGACTTCTTCTAAAGAACTAAAAGGTATAGAATCTTCATATTTGGCTGATGGCTTCCT